CTTCAGGGTCCAGGTCATCCTTGTATCCTCTCCAATGCCAGGCAAAAAGAAGGCATTAAAAGCAGCAGGTAATAAATGGGAATTAAATGTTAGCTTGTGTTAACTACCAGAAAGTAGTATATACCTATTAAGTGTAAGCTATTCTTTTTTAATGTTGATAATAATAGATATGTATTGAATGAGTGAATGAATGAAATAAATTGCAAACAAAAAAACCCTATGAAAATATGCCAAGTTTTGTTAGACTGGGTCTCTAGACATGAAGTAAAAGAACATATATTTTTCCTGGAAACATCCAGTAAACTGAGGCAATATTTGGGGTCAGAATTTCCAGTTGTGCATGTATAGACATGTTTAAAATTTTCTTTTTTTTTTGCGGTACGCGGGCCTCTCACTGTTGTGGCCTCTCCCGTTGCGGAGCACAGGCTCCGGACGCGCAGGCTCAGCGGCCATGGCTCACGGGCCCAGCCGCTCCGTGGCATGTGGGATCTTCCCGGACCGGGGCACGAACCCGCATCCCCTGCATTGGCAGGTGGACTCTCAACCACTGCGCGACCAGGGAAGCCCGACATGTTGAAAATTTAAAGAGCCATAGGAACCTTAAAATTTTGAATGGGTAATCTACATCAGATTTTATAAATTTATTTTATTTATACTCTTTTTTGGCTGCATTGTGTCTTCGTTGCTGTGCACAGGCTTTCTCTAGTTGCAGTGAGTGGGGGCTACTCTTCATTGCGATGCACAGGCTTCTCATTGCGATGGCTTCTCTTGTTGTAAAGCACGGGCTCTAGACGTGGGCTTCAGTAGTTATGGTGCACAGGCTCAGTAATTGTGGCTCTCAGGCTTCGCTGCTCCGTGGCATGTGGGATCTTCCCAGACCAGGGCTCGAACCCATGTCCCCTGCATTGGCAGGAGGATTCTTAACCCCTGTGCCACCAGGGAAGCCCCTACAGCAGATCTTAATCTCAGCACCTTGAAATTCTCCATTCTTTCTGTTGCAATAAATATCCTCATAAATTGAGTACTTTTTTAAAAAGTAAACTCTAAAATAGAAATAAATGACTTTATCAATTTAACCAAAAGTGATATATAAATAAATTTCAAACTCAGTGGTCAAATACTACAAGTATTCTAATATATAAATGCCTACTGGTACAACATGTCCCGTTGAGAACAGAGCCATTGCAAATGAGTGAAGGCAATAAGCTGCTGGCTGTTGCATGCTGTGGAATAAAATCTGCAACTATGGAAATAGAGTGCCTCTGTCTTGAGGAAAAAGCATTTGACCATGAATGCAACTCAGCACCAATCCTCATCTTGGCTAAGGAGAGGGTACAACATCAAGACCCAGGGGTCCAGAGAATGAAATGTTTCTAACACTGCCTTTCTTTCCTTCTTTCCTTCCTTCCTAACTTCTTCTCTTGTTTTGATCCAACAGGAATACAAAGTTATATAAAATTGAAACATTGTAAACACAACACATACAGCGAAATCTCCCAGATTCCATCCCACTTCACCCCATCCCCAAGTATCACTGTTAACATTTTGGCCCACATTCCTCCAATTTTTCCCCTACATATACTAAAATTATTATTGTTACCATTGATTTTTATCACAATGGAATCATACTTTATATACCACTCAGTGACTTACTTTGCTACATGTCGAATTCCTAGCTTTACAATATATTGCCCACAACTCTGCTGATGGGTTTTTACTGATATTCCACAATTTTAAACAGTGCTCTGGTGAACATCCTTGTACACATACTATTTTGCTTATGACACTGCTTTCAGGCAGGGCAGATTCCATCTTCAAAAGCTGCAGAGGAGGAACTTTAGTTCAGTAGATTTTTAGTGATGAAGCAGTCAGTCAGTGGAGCAGTTTTAAGGCAGATTAGATAAAACTATTCTTGGGAACAGAAGGAATCACACCACACCTAAATTCAAGGGAACTTCCCAGGAGGCTCTCTGCCCTCCTCCCTCAGCATCCATCACACAGGCCCGGTTTATCTTTGGAAGCTGAGCCAGTTATCTTTGATACCTGAGTTCCCTTGGCAACACCTAGATCTGAAGGGCATCATCATATCACAGTGTATGTAAAATGCATAAAGGGTAGGCAGTTGCATCTGTGAATTAGGAGGATGACAGGTAGGGGGATTCAAGAAGTTCAACAATCAAGGCTTTCAGACGACAGGGGTGCATTTGAAAAGTCTTTTGTAATTAGGGGTAAGGAGAGTGGGTTTGTTTGATAGCTTCTTGCTGTCCGGCAGCCCAACCCCAGTTCTTTGGTGCAGAGCTCTGAGCCTGCTGGCTCCTCTGAGAGCCTCTGGAATCCCTTCCATCCTGGCCGGGAAGGGTAACTTTGACAAGTCTCTTCTGAGTGGGGGCTTTCCTTTGTCCCTGGTCAGTGGCCTCCAAGCTTGTCAGGTTCTGGTATGGGATAAAAAGACCTACTGCTTCCTACTCTGTGGGGACCGAACTTCTTGTGTCTGTTATGAGTATTCTGAAATGGCCACTCACCCAAATAAACTATTTCTGAACACCCTCCCCCCCCTTTTGTTTGTTTGTTTGTTTTTGGTCTGAGTCAGGAGATTTCCTCCTTCTTTAGGTTAATGAGGATTTAAAAATACAGAACCATCCAATTTGAACTTGTCTTCCAACCCCTCCGACTGCCTTATTTTATAGATGAGGAAATGACTGGCCTAAGGTTAATAAACCTTGAGAATCATAGAGCTTTTAAATCCCTACAGATTACCGTCTTTTAATTAGTATTATTGACTTGTTAACATCAAGGAACTATGAGAACTAGTAGAACATGCTTGTTAAAGGGTCCTTGTCTTGAATGCCACAGAGAGGTTTATCAACACAGAAATAACTGTTATAATAATAACAACAAATTATTATATAATAAGTATATATTATTCTTTAATAAAAGAAGAATAATTATTATTAAAATGATAACGTCAGGCACCATTCTAAATGCTCTAGATCCTGTTACTATCTGTTCCTTTTTTTATCTTTCTTACTTTGCCTCCTCTTGAATTGATTTTTTTTTTCTACTTCCATTTCCCTCTAATTGTTTGGAAAGCATATGCATTGTTTATTATTTCAGTGATTACACTAGCTGGTTTAGCATGCTGACTTAAAGTCTGAAGTAACTGTCTTTACCTCTAAATAATCAAGGACTTTGGACAATTTTAATTCTACTATAAGCCCAGTATTTTTGTTTTTGCTTTGTTTTGTTTTGTTTTTTGGCTGTGCCATGTGGCATGCCGGATCTTAGTTCTGCGACCAGGGATGGAACCTGTGCCCCTTCATTGGGAGCTTGGAGTCTTAACCACTGGACCACCAGGAAAGTCCCCCAGTATTTTTATTCTATTTTCCCTCCAAAAATTAGACATTGTTATAGTATGTTTTTCCATACTCCATATTTGCTGAGATATGACCTCACATTTACCAATATGTTTTTTCAGTGGTCCTTTTTGCACCTCAGGCTTTTCATTTTTTATTCTGCTAAAGTACATCCTTTAGGATCTCCTTTAGTGAGGGTCTTTGTGTGATACATTCTCTCCGGTTATTGGGAGCAGGGAGGGCTGTTTTTATTTCTTTTCTCTGTTTTGATTTCCTAGAAATATTCTTTGTATAATACCTTTTCTTGAAATAAAGCTTCACTGGACATGGACTTCTAGGTTGATAGCTATCTTCTCTCAGCACATTGAAGAAGTTCTTACAATGTATTCTCTTCCGTAGTTGCTCTTACAAAGTGAATTATGAGTGTAATTGCTCATTTTTTTAAATTAATTAATTTATTATGTATTATGGCTGTGCTGGCTCTTCGTTGCAGTGCACGGACTCCTCGGTGCGGTGCGCAGGCTTCTCTAGTTGCGGCATGCGGGCTCTAGAGCACAAAGGCTCAGTAGTTGCAGCATGCCTGCTTAGTTGCGGTATGTGGGATCTTACTTCCCCAACCAGGGATCGAACCTGGGCCCCCTGCATTGAGAGCGTGGTGTCTTAACCACTGGACCACAAGGGAAGTCCCTAATTGCTCATTTTATAGGTGATTTTTCTTCTCTCTGGCTACTTTAAGATCTCTCTTTCTCTTTCTCTCTTTCAACTTTTTTGTATTCTGCTGTTTCACTATGATTTCACTGTGATGTGTCTAGGGGAGACTTTTTTTTAATACATGCTCCTTGAAATTCACTGGGTTTCCTGGATCTAAGAAATACCAGCTCTTTTGCATTCTTATTATATTTTCCTGGAACTCTTGTTTGTTGGACCTTTACACTAGCCTTAGTCTCTTTATAATATGTTCCTTTTTTTAATCTCAATCTAATACATGTGGATAATATCTTCAGATCCAGTTTTCTAATTCTTTCTTCAGCTATGTCTGACCTCTTTTTAATGCATTGAGGGGTTTTGGTACAGCTTTATTGAGGCATAATCAACATACAATAAACTGTACATATTCAAAGTGTACACTTTGTTAAATTTGGACATATGCATATACTCATGAAATCATCACCACAGCCAGTATAATAAATAAATCCCTCATCCCTAAAAGTTTCCTTATGCCACTTTGTAATTCTTTTCTCTAGTTCTTCCCTACCACTACCCCTTGTCAAACAATCATTGATTTGCTTTCTATCTTATAGATTAATTTGCATTTTCTAGAATTTTACACATATGGATTTATACAACATGACTTTTTTTTTTTGATGGTGGTGGTGATTTTCATTTTATTATTTTTTACAATAAGGGTGTAATCTTTTTCTTTTTTTTTTTTTTTTTTTGCGGTACGTGGGCCCCTCACTGTTGTGGCCTCTCCCGTTGCGGAGCACAGGCTCCGGACACGCAGGCTCAGCGGCCATGGCTCACGGGCCCAGCCGCTCCGCGGCATGCGGGATCCTCCCGGACCGGGGCACAAACCCACGTCCCCTGCATCTGCAGGCAGACTATCAACCACTGCGCCACCAGGGAAGCCCAGGGTGTACTCTTTATACTCCACACACACAAAATAAAACAAAAAGTGCTTATGAAAGAGTCCCTGCCCCCACCCCCCATCTCAAAACATCCTGAACGTAGCTATTCAATAGAACAGAAAAATCAAGACATGTTTGATTTCAAAATTTCAATAAAAAAGCAAAGCATGTAATGCAACAGCTGTTCAACTTCCCACTGTAAAATAGGCACCGTGAGACAAACAAAACTCCCAGTATTTTAAATTTCTCCAGCACACATTCCAGTATAAATGTTCTGAACTGTGATCAGCTAGTAATTAATAATGGGAATAGAAGCTTAGAACAGAAGTTATATTGCTTCCCTGCACCCCTTTCTCTTACAATTAGAGAGTAGAGGTATCAGGGGATACAGAGTCAAAGGAAGAAGGATTAAAAAGAAATTCCCAAAGTTGCTGTTTTTTGGACGAGAAAGGAAGACAGCATTTTACAAATGTTCAAAAATCCCAAGGCAAGTAACACAATTCATTCACTATCACTCCTACTAGAAAGAATAAAGACATCAGCATCTTACTATATAAAACTGTACTTTCAGAAGTGTATTACAAGTTCACCAGAAACTATGGATGTAGTTTTAGGCTTCATCAAAGAAAACAAGTTCAGATCAAGTTAGATGCTATACACCCAGCCTAGCTGGATAGGCGTCTGGAACTGCTCACTGTGTCACCCTGAACAGCTATAAACTAAACAATAGTATGTAACTCCAGAGGAAGCTTAAGGATTGAGGATATGTACACAGCTAATTATATCTCCCCTGCTTCGCGCTCTTCAGAGCTCCTCCTGTCTTCTGATCTGCCATTAGCGCTCTCATAGGACTGATTCTTATCTTTTTTATCTCTGTCACGAGGTGATCTGTCTCTTGAATTCCTGTCTCTGTCACGTGATGCTAAGTCTTGTTCTCTGAATCTCTCTTTTGAGGATCTCCTCCTGGATCGCTCTCTGCTCCCGTATCTAGAACTGTGCCCACTTCTCTGGTGGCTGCGGCTGCGACTACGGCTGCTGGAGCGGGACCTGTGGCGCTGGCGTTTCTCCCGGGATTTGGATGGAGTTCTCCTTTTCCGTTCCCGTGACATGGAGTGAGACCTCTGTCTGCGATACTCTCTGGACCTGGATCTTTTAGGATTCTTTCTATGTGATCGAGACCTCCTCAGCTTCTCCCTTTCTTCTCTTCTTCTCAGGCGTTCCTGGTTTCTTTTCTCAGCTACAACTCTCTTTAATTCTTCAAGCTTCTCTCTTATTTCAATAAATCCCAGGTGCAGTTTACCCCCAAAATGATCAGCCAGTCGTCTGTCATTATCATGAAGACCTAAATAGGCAGAGCAAACTTCACAGACTCGAAGTTTCTGCTGCTGGAAACTGGAAGCTGGCATAGAATTCCGATAAACTTCCTCTGCTTCTCTTTTCTTTGCCCGTGCTTTCTCTACTTCATCCATTACTTTCTGGGATTCCTCCACATTCCCTTCAGCTCCTAGCTGTTCCACCTTAGCCAACAATTTACCGATTTCTTCATTTAACTCATGAACACGTTCTGCCTTTGCTGCAACTTCAGCACTAATCTCTTCCTGAGTTGCTCCTAATCTTTTCTTAGCCACTTCTGTTCTTCGATCACAATCTGCAATGAATGACTGCAGATGATCCATAGCATCGAGTTCAAAGAAAAAACCTTGTTCTTTGGATGCAATTTCATAATCTGCTGTTAAAGCCAGGTCATGGACTTTCAGACATTCTCCAAGATCCATTCTAGTTCCAGACAGGACATCATGGGGGCAACAGTTCAGAAGGTGACTCTTGCATACTCTGTCATCACTGAATTTGATTCGTTGATGAGTAGTATCTCGCGGTACCCTGCTTCCATTTATGCAGTATGCCAGGCATTGGCACTATTTTCAGTGGCACACAGGCGGTTGCCACCACCAGGGCCTTCTGGCCCAACACAGCGGTGAAAATCCAGTCATTTCAGCTAAATAATATCGTGGACTTGTAAACATGGGTTCATTGGTAAATCCTTAGTCGTCCCGGGAGGTGCCCATCAACTGGTCCAGCATCGCGCGCATCTGGGCCTGCGCCGACATGGCGGCGGCGTAGCGGGCGGACGGACGGGGGTGGGGCGCAGACCGGGCCCTCTCGGGCGGGGGGACAAGGGGAAGGGGTGGGGGAAGGTGAGACGCTGTCTCGGTTGCCGCCGCTGCCTCGAGGCGTGCGGAAAAGGGAGCTGGAGGGGTTGCAGGAGAGTCCGGGCTGCGCTCCTCACGACGACGCATACGTGGAAGGCAGCAACCCCCGAAAGCAACCCTCGTTCCCTCACTCTCCGTCGGGTTCCTGGGACAGAAGCAATACCGGCTAACCAAGCTCTCGTCTCCAACACCGCCACCCGCCAGAAGACGTCAGCCCCTTCACGCTCTGACGCCGCTCGCCGCCACCGTCGCCGCCAACATGACTTCTTTTTTTGAGTCTGATTTCTTTTACTCAACAAAATTATTCTGAATTTGTCCATGTTGTTAGGTCTATCAATTGTTATTGTTGTTGTTTTTATTTCTGCGTAGTACTCCACTGTACAGCTATAACACTATTTATCTTGTCACTTGTTGGATATTTCCAGTTCTTGACTACTACAAATAAAGTTGTTATGAACATTCATGTACATCTTGTTATGAACATGTGCTTTCATTTCTTGGGTAAATATTTAGGAATGGAATAGCTGAATTATATCATATGCATATGTTTAACTTTTTTTAAGACACTGCCAAAGGGTATTCCAAAGTGGTTGTACCATTTTACATTCCCACCAGCAATCAATGAGAGTTCCAGTTCTCCACATCCTTGTGGTGTTATGAGGCTTTTTGCTTGTAGCTATTCTAGTAGATGTAATTGTATCATACTTTTAATTTGAAGTGGTTTTAATTTGAATTATCTAATGATTAATGATGCTGAGCATCTTTTCATGTGCTTATTTGCCATCCATACATCTTCTTTGGTGAAATGTCTGTTTAAATGTTTTGCCTACTTTTAAATTGGTTTGTTCTGTTATTATTGAATTATAATAATTCTTTACATATTTTAGATATAAGAATTGTGTCACAGATATATTTTGCAAATATCTTTTCCCAGTCTGTAGTTTGCCTTTTAATTTTTTAATGGTGTCCTTCAAAGAGAAAAAGTTTTAAATTTTGATGAAATATCAGTTATTGATGTTTTCTATTATAGTTATGACTTTTTGTGTCATATTTTAAAAAGATCTTTGACAAAACTTCTAAAATTTAAAACAAATGAATGAATATAACAAAACAGAAAAAAAAAAAATCTTTGACAAAGCCCAGGTAAGTAACATTGTCTTGTACATTTATACCTAGAAATTTTATAGTTGTAATTCTATATGTTTTGGTCAATGATACATTGAGTTAATTTTTAATTGGTAGGATGCAGAATCAAGGTTGATACTTTTCCATATGGCTACTCAGTTGTTCCAACACCATTTGTTGAAAAGATTATTCTTTCCCCCCATTGAATTACCTTGGTACCTTTGTTGAAAATCAAGTTGCCTTATATGCCTTCGACTCTTTCTTGACTATTCTGTTATATTAATTTGTCTATCTTTACATCAATACCATACTGTCCTAACTACTGTAGTTTTATAATAAGTTTTGATATCCAGTAGTGTAAGTACTCCAACTTTATTTTTGTTTTCTGGTTTTGTCTGCTTTCTTTTCAAAATTGTTTTAGTTATTCTAAGTCTTTTTCATTTCTATATAAATTTCAGAATCAGGTCATCAATTTATTTTTTTAAAACCTGTTGGGATTTTAACTGGGATAGTAAATCAATTTGGGGAGGATTGATGCTTTAACAATCTCTGGACTTTTGTTCCATGAACATGATATATCTTTCTAGGTCTTCTTTAGTTCCTTTCACCAATGTTATCTAGCTATCATTATGTAGTTATTGTACATCTTTTGTCAAATTTATTTCTATTTCATATTTTTATGCTATTGTAAATGGTATTGCTTTTGTAATTTTAATTTCTAATTTTTCACTGCTTATATATGGAAATACAATTGATTTTTGTACTATGATCATGTATCCTGAACTCATGCTAAATTTGCCTATTAGTTCTAGTACATTCTTTTTGTAGAATCCATAGGATTATCTACAAAGATAATCATCATGTCAGCAAATATAGTGTTTTTTTCTTCTTCCTTCCCAACCTGTGTACCTTTAATTTTTTTCTTGACTTATTGGCTAGAACTGCCAGTACAATATTGAATAGAAATGGTGAGAACAAACATGCATGCCTTGTTACTGATCTTAGGGGGAAAGAATTTTCAGTTTTTCACTGTTAAGTATGATGTTAGCTGTAGATTTTCTATAATATCCTTTATTAGGTCAAGAAAGTCTTTTCTATTACTAGTTTGCTTAGAATTTTTATCAGGAAAAATGCTTTTTCTGCATCTATTGAGATAAGCATATGGTTTTTCTGGTTTTTAGTCTGTCAGTATGGTGAATTATATCAGTTAATTTTTAAAGGTTAAACTAAGCTTGTGTTCCTGGAATAAAACTCTCCTGGTTATGATATATTATCCTTTTTATGTATTTTTGGATTTGGTTGACTAAAACTGTTATGAATTTTTGCATCTATGTTCATGAGGGATACTGGTCAGCAGTTTTCTTATAATGTCTTTCTTTGGTTTCGGTATCAGGGTAATACTGGCTTCATACTTATAGTATGTGATAAGTATTCCCTCCTCTGCACTTATCTGGAAGAGTTTTTATAGAATTTGTATTATTTCTTCCATAAATATTTAGTAGAATTTACCAGTGAAGCCAGTCAGGAGTAGTTTTCTTTGTGGGAAGGCTTAAGTTCAAGCTCTTAAGTAGATATAGGGCTAATTCAAGTCATCTATTTCTTCTTGAGTGAACTTAGGCAGATTGTGTCTTTCAATGAATTTATCCACTTGAAGTTGTTGAATTTATTGACATAAAATTACACAACATTGTAAATCAACTATACTTCAATTAAAAATAATAAAAAATAAAATTCATAATTTCCTTATTAGCCTTTGATATCTGTAGCATCTGTAGTGATGTCACCTTTCTCATTCTTATGGCAACTTCATAAGTTGCCTCATAAATCTAGCTAGAGGTTTATTATTTCTGTTTTCCTTTTATTGATTTCTGGTCTTATCTTTTTATTGCCTTTCTCCTCCTTACCTTAGGTATAATTTTTTTCTTCCTTTTCTAGTTTCTTAAGGTGGAAGCTGGGGTAATAAAGATTTTTCTTCTTTTCTAATATAGGTATTCAGTGCTCTAAATTTCCCTCTAAGCACTGTTTGCTGAATCCCACAGATTTTGATAAGTGTATTTTTATTTTTATGAGTTCAAAATACTTTCTAAATTCCCTTTTGATTTCCTCTTTGACTCATGTGATAATCAGACGTTTGATATTTAGTTTTTAAATGTTTGGATATTTCAAGATATCTTTCTGTAATTGATTTCTAATTTAATTCCATTATGATCAGAAATAAACTTTGCATATTTGAATCACTTTAAATATATTGGTATTTCTTCTGTGGCTCAGAATATGGTCTATCTTGGTAAATAATCTTTTTTTTTTTTCACTTTAAAAAGAGTATGTGTTCTATGTGTACTTTATTTTTTAAATATTTATTTATTTAGGCTGCTCCAGGTCTTAGTTGCGGCACATGGGATCTTTGTTGCAGCACGTGGGCTTCTTAGTTGTGGCATGTGGACTCTTAGTTGCTGCATGCATGTGGGATCTAGCTCCCCAACCAGGGATCGGACCTGGGCCCCCTGCATTGGGAGCGTGGAGTCTTGCCTTACCCACTGGACCACCAGGGAAGTCCCTCTATGTGTACTTTATTTTTATTATTATTTTTTAATGTAGTTTAATTTTTTTTTTTTAGAAATTTATTTTTATTTATTTATTTTTGGCTGCATTTGGTCTTCGTTGCTGCACACGGGCTTTCTCTAGTTGCGGTGAGCGGGGGCTACTCTTTGTTGTGGTGCACGGGCTTCTCATTGCAGTGGCTTCTCTTGTTGCAGAGCATAGGCTCTAGTTGCTCGGGCTTCAGTAGCTGTGGCTCTAGAGCACAGGCTCAGTGGTTGTGGCGCACGGGCTTAGTTGCTCTGCGGCATGTGGGAACCTTCCTTGGCCGGAGACTGAACTCGTGTCCCCTGCATTGGCAGGTGGATTCTTAACCACTGTGCCACCAGGGAAGTCCTCTATGTGTACCTTAAAAGAATATGAAGTCCTCTATGTGTACCTTAAATGAATATGTAGGGACTTCCCTGGTGGTGCAGGGGTTAAGAATCCACCTGCCAATGCAGGGGACATGGGTTCTGTCCCTGGCCCAGGAAGATCCCACATGCTGCAGAGCAACTAAGCCTGTGTGCCACAACAACTGAGCCTGCGCTCTAGAAGCCCAGAAGCCACAACTACTGAAGCCTGTGCACCTAGACCCCATGCTCCGCAACAAGGGAAGCCACTGCAATGAGAAGCCCGTGTACTGCAACAAAAAGTAGCTCCTGTTCGCCACACCTAGAGAAGGCCCACACATAGCAACGACCCAACGCAGCCAAAAATAAATAAATTAAAAAAAAAAAAAAGAATATGTATTCTGTTCTTGTTGGATAGAATGTTCTATATATGTCAGTTGATCGAGTTTATTGATAGTGTTGCTTATGTCTATTTGTTCTACCAACTATTTAGAGAGTAGAGTTGAAAAATCTGACTGTAAGTGTGTATATATCTTTTTTCTCTGCAGTTTTCTTAGTTTTTGCTTCATATATTTTGAAGCTCTGTTTTTAGTTGCATAATATTTAGGACTGTGACATTTTCTTGAGGAATTGTTCCCTCTGTCCCCATGAAATGAATCTCTTTATCTCTGGTAATTTTTCCTCTGAAATCAGTTTGGTCTGACATTAATACAGGTTCACTGGCTTTCTTTTAATTAGTTTTATCATGATACGCCTCCTTCTATTCTCTTACTTTTATCCTATTTGTGTCTATATTTAAAATAGATCTTTTTTGTAGGCAGCATATAATTAGATCTTGCTTTC